TTTACACTGTCACTACTATCATAAATTTTGATACTAGTTTCATGTAAAATATATATATTAAGCTCCACTTTATGACATATCATATAGCTGTTTTGTGTATAAAATGCCTTGACACAATGGTTAGTTGTGTAAAAAGTAATTTGAACTAATTATATAGCTGTTATTTTATCGGCAACAAACACTAGTGTGAAAATAAATTTTTACAAACGCGCATATTAAAATGCAGTGATAGCTTTGTTATTTAAAAATAATAATTATATCAGTTACCATTCTAATTGATGTTTGGTTTAGTTACTAATTGTTACTACCGAGGGCGCGTAGCCGATCGGAAATGTGTAGACAATACCGAGCGAATAGAAACAAGTTTATTATGGCCTAGTAGTCTGAGTCCAAGCCGTCCGAGCAGGTCTCTCAAGTTCAACACGTCCGCTCGGGCAGAATTATAACGTACGGTCGGATAGACCAATAAAACTGGAAGTGGAGACAACAGTCGAAGGCTCATGAATGTGTGATTAATGAGGTAACGGTTGTTGTCGATTATTAAAGATGTGCATTGAAAGCTATTAAAAGGAAAAGTAAGGGGTAAGATTCTCTGAAAACATATAAATAGAAAATAATGGAGAAGGTAAATTCTCTGTTCTTGAATATTATATAGACTTGCTAAAGCCCATTCTGACTTGAGCGTTGGAATGTTTGCTGCAGGTCAACCCATTTGCGTTGAAACACAAGCGAAAGGAGAGCGAAAGGCGAAGGACCGATCAGAGGAGAAGGAGTGTTTCCGGGCGGAGATAGCAGGAGTTTCTCCGGTCCCATTCAGCAGAAACATTTTGGCGTCCACCGTGGGGCCGAGGATCGTTGAAGAACAACCTTTACGACCGTAAGGATGGAGCAAGACCCAACAGCATTTTTACAGGAGATGAGAAGGAGAATAGAGGCAATGCAGGCGGAAATTGAAACCCTTAGGGCTGAGCGTGATGCGGCCAGAGGGGCGCAAGCTAATCGTCCATCTTCTGCAGGCGCCCAGACACCACCAATTGTAGAGATGCCGAAAACCGAGCCAAACTCGGAAGAGGACACAGATCCCATTCCTGATAGTTATTATCAGGGAGAGGAGCAGAGTGAGGCTGGTTCGCATTGGATCGCAAACCGTCCGGCACCGGCCGGTCGGGCAAGAGCATTGCATCCGTTCACAACCGCAATCATGGAAGAACAGATTCCGGAGAGAGCATTTCCAACTCTAGAGAAGTATGATGGGTCGAGTGATCCGGAGGAGCATTTAAGATCCTTTGTTGATGCCATGACTATTTACTCACCCAGGGAGAATGTGTGGTGTAGAGTTTTTTCCTTGTCAATAAAGGGAGAAGCATTGGCATGGTTCCACTCGTCGAGACCTCGAACCATCAATAACTTTGCCACTTTAAGAAATATGTTCGAGCGACAGTTTTCGACGGGTAGAGCGCGAAATCTGACGTATCTGGAGTTAACCAACATAAAACAGGAGAAAGGAGAGGGTCTTAGGGATTTCATGGATAGGTTCAATAGAACCGCACGACAAGTAAGGGGAGTAGGCAAGAAGTTTACTATCAGTACTCTGGCCACTACGTTGAGGCCTTCCCCGTTTGCTGATAACTTGTTCGTAGAGCCCTCGCTAACCCTGGACGAATTGCAAGAGAGGGCCGCTCGGTTCATTAGAATAGAAGAAATGAGGGCGGTCCAAAGGCGGCAGCAGGAGCAAAACTCAAGTTCAGGACAGGAGAAGAAGGAGAGTAAGAAACTGTTCGTACCAGGCGAGCGGTTAAAGGGCCAGAAGTATAGAGATGGCCCGAAGGGGGCTAGGTACGAAAGGTACACCCCGTTGAACACTCAAAGGGCGAGAGTACTGGAGGAAGCCCTTAATGCAGACTTGATAAGGGTGAGACCCTCCTGATCATCACCCAAGGCAGATGGAAGTAAGCATTGCACCTATCATCTAAACATAGGGCATAACACCGAGGACTACACGGTGTTGAAGGATAAGGTGGAAGGATTGATCCGGACGGGTCATCTGAGGCAGTTTGTTAAGGAGGAAAGAAAGGTGAGAAGTCCGCCCAGGAGGGCTAGGGCGGAGCGAAGTGATGAGAGGGAGGGCAAGCGTCCCAACCGTCGACGGAGTAGAAGTCGTAGCCATGACCGATCGCTGCGAGGAACGATAAACACTATTTCGGGTGCTTTTGCAGGTGGGTCATCGGCGTCCGCGAGAAAAAGAAACCTGAGGGAGCTTAAGAGCGTTCATAGGGTAGATGTGAGAAAGCGCTCTGTGCCGCCTATCACATTTACGGATGAGGATTTCCATGCTCCCGATCCGGATGAGGACGACCCGATGGTAATAACTGCGGTCATTGCCCAATATAGCGTGGGAAAAGTATTGGTGGACCAGGGCAGCTCTGTTAACATTCTGTACTGGAAGACATTCCAGCAGATGGACATATCCGAAGACCTGATCGCCCCGTACAACGAGTAGATAGTAGGATTCGCGGGGGAAAGGGTAGATACAAGAGGATATGTGGATCTTAGAACGTGCTTGGGAACCGAGCGGACCAAGGAGGTGAAAACCAGGTTTTTGCTGGTGGATGCAAACACCTCTTATAATGTGCTATTAGGACGATCGTGTTTGAATGCATTCGGGGCAATTGTTTCCACACCCCATCTCACGCTGAAATTTCCGTTGGACAATGAAACCATTTGCACCGTTCAGTCCGACCAGAGGATTGCTCGAGAATGTTATATGGCGGGGTTGAAGGTTCAGCCATCGTAATTAGATCCACCCAGTCGGCATATGAGAAGGCGTTCGGAGGTAGCCATGGCAGATTTGGATCCAAGGACTAATACGGACGATCGGATAGAACCAATGGGAGAGACAAGGCCCTTCAGCCTGGGGCAGAAGGATGAACAGGTTACTACCATCGGAAGTGAGTTGGAAGAGGATCATGCCAAATTGATAAGTGCGGAGTTGAAGAAAAACCACGACTTATTTGCTTGGACTACAGCCGACATGCTAGGAATACACCCAAGGGTTATGTCGCATAAGCTGGCATTATTCAAAGAGGCCCCACCAGTGGCCCAGAAGAAGCGAAGATTGGGGGAAGAGAAGTAGTCGGCAGTGGCAGTTGAGGTGAAGAAATTGTTGGAAGCAGATTTCATCCGTGAAATCAAGTACACCACTTGGCTGGCGAACGTTGTGATGGTAAAGAAGATGAGCGGACAGTGGAGAATGTGTACGGACTTCACCGATCTAAATAAAGCCTGCCCCAAAGATTCTTATCCATTACCAAGTATTGATGCGTTAGTGGACGGGGCTTCAGGGTTCCGTGTGCTATGTTTCCTGGATGCTTATTCAGGATACAATCAGATCCCCATGTTTCCCCCGGACAGTGATAAGACAGCGTTTATCACCGAGCGGACGAACTATTGCTATGAGGTCATGCCGTTCGGGTTGAAGAACACAGGAGCTACTTACCAACGGTTGATGGATAGGGTTTTTGCTAACCAGATCGGTAGATGCATGGAGGTTTATGTAGATGACATGGTGGTGAGGAGCCATTCGATTGAAGATCATGTGAGGGATCTAGCGGAGGTTTTCCACCAGGTTTGCAAGTATAACATGCGCCTCAATCCAGCCAAATGTAAGTTCGGGGTGCCGACGGAAAAATTTTTAGGATTCCTGCTAACCACTAGAGGTATTGAAGTGAACCCCGACAAGTGCAGAACGATACTAGAAATGAGGAGTCTGCAGAAGCTGAAGGAAGTCCAGAGGTTGGTGGGGAGATTGACTTCATTATCTCGCTTTATTCCCAAGTTAGCCGAGCGGATAAAGCCGATAGTGAGAATCATGAAGAAGAGTACTGGTAATGATTGGGACGACCAGTGTGAGCAGGCCTTTAATGTGGTTAAACGCATACTGGTCAGCCCACCGGTCATGGGACGACCCGATGCGGGGCATGCATTACAGTTATTCCTGGCGGTCTCGGAGGACACGATCAACTCAGCGTTGGTGCCAGAGCAACCTGAGTTCAAACTCGTGTACTTCGTAAGTCGAACGTTGCAACCAGCGGAGACCAGGTATAAGCGAGTTGAGAAGATCGCTTTGGCATTGGTAATGGCGGCAAGGCGCTTAAGGCCATACTTCTAGAGTCATCAGGTGATTGTGCGAACAGATCATCCGATCGCGAAAATCCTACGTAAACCAGATCTGGCTGGGAGAATAGTGGGCTGGTCGGTGGAGTTGTCTGAATTTGGGTTCCAATTTGAGCCGAGAGGGTCAGTCCGAGGGCAGTATTTGGCCGATTTTGCGGTCGAGTTACCAGGTGAAGAGGAAGGGCACCACGAGTGAATGCTTTATGTGGATGGCTCTTCGGAGAAATCCGGTGGCGGTGCAGGCATTGTGTTGGAAGGACCGGACGGCTTTGTTGTGGAGCAGGCAATTGTCTTTCGGTTCAAGATAAGTAATAACCAGGCCGAATACGAAGCAGTGATAGTTGGGCTCGAGCTGGCTAAGGACTTGGGGGCATGTTCGGTCAGATGCCGAACGGATTCTCAATTAGTAGTAGGACAGGTAATGGAGAGCTTCCAAACTAAAGATGATCAGCTGCTTCGTTATTTTCATAAGGTAAAGGAGTTGGTGAAACAATTCCGGACGGTGGAATTTCAGCATGTGCCGAGGGAGTAGAATGCGAGGGCGGATGCCTTATCTAAACTCGCCAACAATAAGGGGAAGGATCACTTGTCGTCGGTCATTAGGCAGGTTATGATGAACCCTTCGGTGGAGTGTCTGGCAGTCCACAAGATCTCCGCTCGGCCAGACTGGAGGAAGGATATAAGGGAAGTCATTCAAAGGCAGGAGAGTGGATTGCACGTTCGGGTGGCTGATGCAAAAAAGGTCGCTCGATATTTGCTGATAGGAGAGGATATGTATAAGAGAGGCTTCTCTTCACCTTTATTGAAATGTATATCTTTGGAGGAAGCCGAGTATGTGATGAGGGAGCTGCACGAGGGGGTATGTGGAATGCATACCCGGCAGCGAGCGCTACGTGCCAGGGTGATCCGAGCGGGATATTTCTGGTCGACGGTAGAGAAGGAAAGCAAAGAGTTTGTGAAGAAGTGCTTGAAGTGTCAGGAGCATGGCAGGAACTTCCATATCCCACCGGTGGAGTTGCATAGCTTAATGTCCCCTTGGCCGTTCGCGCAATGGGGAATGGATATTGTCGGACCCTTTCCGGTAGGACGAGCTCAAAACAAATTTCTATTGGTGGCGGTGGATTATTTCACTAAGTAGGTAGAAGCAGAACCGCTCGCAAAGATCACGGCTGCAAGGGTTCAAAAGTTTGTATGGACGCTCATATGCAGATTTGGAATTCCCAAGGTCATAGTCACGGACAACGAGCGACAGTTTATTGACAAAGGCTTAGCCGAGTTCTATAAAAGCCTGGGAATTAAGCATGTCACGAGCTCGGTGGAGCATCCCCAAACGAACGGCCAAGTAGAAGCGGTCAACAAGGTAATAGTCTCTGAATTGAAAAGAAGGTTGGCAGATGCTAAAGGAGTGTGGGTGGACCAACTTTAGGAAGTGTTGTGGGGGTATCGTTGCACGTCGCACGGTACAACGGGGGAAACCCCGTTCAACCTAACGTATGGAATGGACGCGATATTGCCGATCGAGGTAGGGGAACCTACCATACGAAGGGAAGTGCAGAGTTTGCAAGATAATAATGACGAGCTGCGGGTAGAGCTAGATACCCTAGATGAGCGGAGGGAGGTAGCAATGATCCGAATGGAGGCTAAGAAGAGACTGTTGGCGAGGCGTTATAACACCAAGGTCAGGTCGAGACAATTTGTTGAAGGAGATCTTGTGTGGAGAAAAACGGCTGAAGCCCGACGAAACCGATCGGTGGGAAAATTAGCTGCAAATTGGGAAGGCCCCTTCAGGGTGGTGGAAAGCTTGCAGAATGGAGCGTACCATCTAAACCACTTGACAGGAAAGGCTATCCCCAATACATGGAATGCCTCTCATTTAAAATTTTATTTCAGTTAAGAACTATGTATTCAGTCCATATCAATAATATTATATTTCATGAAATTTGCATCATGTTTTCACAGTCGAGTAGGCGAGGCAGATTTCTTTCGTGAACTCTCACCTTGGTCTTAGGGCACGCTTCTAGAGAGCTCCTAAGACCTAAACCGAGCGGGTGAGGAAGATTTCTTTCGTGAACTCTCACCTTGGTCTTAGGGCATGCTTCTAGAGAGCTCCTAAAACCTAAACCGAGCGGGTGAGATAGATTTCTTTCGTGAACTCTCACCTTGGTCTTAGGGCACGCTTCTAGAGAGCTCCTAAGACCTAAACCGAGCGGGTAAGGCAGATTTCTTTCGTGAACTCTCACCTTGGTCTTAGGGCACGCTTCTAGAGAGCTCCTAAGACCTAAAACGAGCGGAATGCTGGTGAGACAAACCAAGCACGAAACGAAAGGGCAATGCTTGAAAAGACGAGTAAAACAGGAAAGCGTAATAGAAATGGTGAAAGCAAAGCTGCAGAAAGACTTGGTATTTTCATTAATTTCAAAAAATTGTTACAACTGAAGTTTGAAAGCGGTAAAATCCTAGGTCTAAAAACTAAGGATTGGCCTTGAGCTTCACCGGTCTCTCCGACCACTTCGACAGCAGTCTCGACATCTTGGACGGCCGGAGGAGAAGATGGGGGAATATGGATGGGCACCAGTTTTTTATCCACCACCATCATGCTCACGTCAAGGCGGGGGTCGTCAGTAGGCACTTGGAAGAGAAGGTGACATTGGGCGAGAGCCTTATCAAACCCGAGCACATGCTCGTTTACCACCTCATCACCCAGTAGTTTGTTTTCTGCCTCCAACTTGGTTACCCGATCTTGGAGAGAATCCCGCTCGGCTGTTAAGGTTGCGTTGGATGAGGTGGCCTTCTGGAGGTCAAGCTTGGCATCGTCCAATGACCGTTGCATACGCCGTTGAGCAGTGCGGGCCTCGGCCAGCAGAGTGCTAGCTTTCTTTTTGTCCTCGGCCGCTATCCGTTCAGTCTCGGCCAACCGAAGGGTAAGGTCCTGGTTGGCCTTGAAGGCAGAGTCGAACTGTGCTTGGAGAGCTTGGAGCTCGGCGGAAGCAGAAGCCCTCTTTTGGGCGGCATACGCCAAGCACATGGCCGACCGCGCGGTCAATTCCAGTGCCATGTTGGAGGCTTCTTCCTCGGTCATCCCGCTGACCAGAGCATTTTCCTCAATGAAAAGGTCAAAATGGAGGCGCTTCGCCACCCATGAGTCTAGGCTCAGCAGCCCGGAGAGGGGAAGCCCGTCGGGAAGATGCCTCTTAGCTTTCTTCGACTCGGCCGAAGTCTCCCGAACGGCCTTTCGCTTCCCTTTTTTCTTGTGCTCGGACTCAGGCAGGGGAGCTTGGGGAGCCTGTTTGGAAATAACTTCGACCGGGGGAGGAGGAACGAATGTCT